TAGTAGAACATCCTGTGCTGCAGCCCAGATGGATCAGTACACTGGAGAGAGCCCTCCTAAACTAACTGGAGAAGTGCATGGGAAGTGCTACTTACATAGCACCTGCAGGAGTAAGATGGTCCAAGTACAGGGCCATGATTGGTGCCCGGTTCTAGAAAAGACTCAGCTGTTAAGGGGGAGATGCAGTGAGGGAGCAGGTTGGGAACCAGGTAAGACTAGCTGTAGGGGTTGGGGATGTTAATAATGGGTCCAGACCGCTCCCTCCCTGATTTTAGACACGTGAAGGCTCTTCTCTTCTTCCTAAAGACTGCAGGAGCAGCTGAAGTGCCCAGAGAAGGGGAGGAGTGCCAAGCTGATAGTTAAGTTTCACCCATGTTGAAGTGGGGTAGAGGAGAGCCATCACTAGACAGCCTGGGAGGACACCTAAGCAAGTTGTCACAATCCACTGGGGCTGTGAAGAGAACACGGAAGTGAGGAGGAAAGGGAGTAATAGTCACTGGCCAAGCCACATCCTCCTCCAGTAAGGGGCAGGGCATGACGGCAGGGCTTCTCATCTGTCTCAATGGTGGGAAAGTAAAATAGTACAATTCACTTTGGAGAACGGTTTTGTAGTTATACAAAATCCTAAACGCAAGTGTCCTACGTAACCCAACTACTTCATGAAAGAATTATGAAAGCATATCCCAAAAAAAGATTTCTATGCACCTGTTGACCGCTGTTTTATTTGCAATAATCAAAAATAAGAAAATATTCATATAGTTATCAACAGTGAAAGAATAAACCGTGATTAATTCATCTAATTAGAAAATGATTAGCAATAAAACATAATGAACTATATATGAACACATGGATAATCCAAATAATTGTGCTGAGTGAGAGAATGCAGACCAAAAAAGTACATATTCTCCCGTTCTATTTGTAGAGAGAGCAGTTACCGGCGGAGTACGGAGGAAGAGGAACATATTACAACAGTCACCAAGAAACTGTCAAGGATGACAGTCATTTGCTTGATTTTGGTGGTGGCTCCCCGAGAATATTCATATGTAAAAACTTAGCACATCGTTGAATAATGTGCATTTTATTCTACATATATTTCTTCCTTGATAAATAATTTTCAAACATTAATATCGTCTGATTTTTACAATGGAAACATTTGAAACTCACTTAGAATTTACTACATCGCTGACTTTGTTCTTTGTGTCTCAGGTATATTAGTGTACAGCATACTTGAATCCTATGAGTGAGAGAAATTACAACACTTATCTATATTTCAGATGCTAAAATTGAGACACAGAGAAACTAGATTTTTCCAAAACCACACTTTTGGCAAGGGGCGTAACTAATACTTAAGGCCAGACTCTCTGCTTCTGTAGTTTCTAATGCCAATCTGATATGTTTCTAGCAGACAGAACTAAGATTCTGATTTTAGTTGTTTATTATGACATTTATATTCTTTTCAGAGAGAATGTGATCTGGCAGAGTAGGCAGAGAAGAAAACTTTCCCTGTTTCAGATTTTTTTTATGCTTTAGATTAAATTAAGAAAATGTTTCCATATTTATAAAATCAATGACTGTTCCACTCATTAAGACCACACAGTCAGTTTCTTAGTGAATAAATCTAATTCTGGTGAACCTCAGTAATATTTAAATTATGTCACTGTTCAACTGAAAGTAACATTTTGCAGGAGATTTGTACAGAAAATACGTTGATATTTAGACACGATTTCTTGCTACTTACAATGAAGTCATACTTGTTCTTATGTAGGGCTACTCGCTCTCTCTCTCTCTCTCTCTCTCTCTCTCTCGTCTCTCTTCTTACATAGAAAATATTACTTTTTCAATTTTAAATTTGTTTTATTGCAGAAAAATACACCTAATAATATTTACCATCTCAAGCCTCTTTAAATATATATAGCTCAGTAGTAGTATAAGTACATTTATATTACTAGGCAACTGTCACCAAAATCTATCTCAAGAATTCTTTTCATCTTGTCAAACTGAAACCATGAACCCATTACAAAGTAAACCACCATTCCTCCTTACACCCAAATCCTGGAGACCTCGTTTCTATTTTGTGTCATTACGATTTTGATTACTCTAGATACCTCACGCAATTGAAACTATAAAGTATATGACTATCTACATTCATTTATTTGAGGTACTGGGAGTTGAACCCAAGACCTTCACCCTGAGCACCATCCCTAACCCTTTATTTTTCATTTTAAGGAAAGTTCTCACTGAGATGCCATGTTGCCCAAGTTGAGCAATCCTCCTGAGTCAGCCTTCCAGGGTGCTGAGATTTTAAGGGTGCATTACAACACTCAGCTACTATGGTATATGTTTTTTTATAACTGACTGACTTCGCTGGCATGTCTCTACGGGATTCATCCACATGGTATCATGGTCATAATTCATTTTCCTTTCGGGATGAGTAATATTGAATTGTATTCAAATAGAACATCTTATGTATTCATTTGTTGATGGGATCTTAGATAATTCCTACATTTTACAATTGTAAATATCGTTGCGATGAAAATGCATGTCTAGCTGTCTCTCTAGGACCCTTTTAAAAGAGCTTTGGATAGATACCCAGAAATGGAATTGATGAATCATATATATGATCGTTTTATTTTTAATTTTTTGAGAAATTGCCACACTGTTGCCCACAGCAGTGCTGTCATTTGATATTCCCAACAGCAGTTCACAAGGGTTCCAATTCCTTCATACCCTTGCTAACATTGCTGTTTTCAGCATTTTTAAGAGCAGTGATCCAAATGGATATGAAGCGGCTTTTCCTTGTGGTCTGAACTGCACTTCCTTAATGATTAGTGACCTTCACCTTGTTTTTGTGTATTTGTTGATCTTGTCATTCATATAAATTTCTTTGGAGAATATCTGTTTAAGTCCTTGGTCTATTTTTTTAATTGGATTGTTGTTTTATTGAGTTTTAGATGCTCTTTGTATTTTATCCTAGATTTTGCATTTTCTGCCTTTTGGTGAGTATTTATTTCTTGTCCAGCCTTAAATTAGTGTCTCTTTAGATATGGCCTGCAAATGGAGCAATCAGAATCACTTGGAACATATGTCTGTAATACAAAATCCATCAACCTACCTATTAAAGTAGGGGTACTAGCTTGATGACCTTGAATGGCTCATCTGAACACACTTTTTGAGTAGAGTGTATAAACACTGCAATCCGAAAAGCATTTCCTTAAATGTTGTTTTTCCCAGTATTTCTGTCTTATTTCGCTGTTCCCACTGTCATGGTTCAAGCATCAGCTGCTGTTATGCTGTTAACTGTCAAAGGCATCATTATCCCTCTTCGTTTCTTTTTTCTTGTGTCTAACTACTCTAGACACTTCAGTGTACATGCATGTACAAGGGAATTTATCATTTCCCATAGACTCCTTTATTTACACACTTTATTAGTAGTAGGATCATCCATATGGCCACTGTGAAAGTTAGAAACCTAGAAATTGCTGGAAGCAATGTCACACACCTGTAACCCCAGCACTACAGAGGCCGAGGTAGGAGGATCACTGTGAGTTTGTGGCCAGCCTGGGCTACATAGTGAGTTCAAGGCCAATGGATAACACAGCGAGATCCTGGCTCAAACTCCCCATACCCCCCAAAAAAGAAGAGAAAATTGGAAACCATCCTTGGTTCTCTTCTTTACCTTCTTCCTCAACAAATCAAGTAATGCATTCAACTATTTCTACCTCCAAGGATTTCTCAAATGTTTTTCTCCTTACTGTTTCAATTATTGACAGTTTAGTCCTTTACCGTGTCTTAAGTGTCCTGCTCCTCTCTCTCTCCCTCTCCCTCTCTCTCTTGCTTTTAAACCACTGTCATTAGAGCCTCCAGTTTGATTTATCTAAAAGTAAAATGTTTCAGGTCAGATTTCAACAAGAAACATTAGCCACTTTTAAAATAATATAATTCAAAGAAACTTTATTTGCAAAGAGGCCATCTTCACAAATGTTAGTGGCAACAGATAGCAAGATCTGATTAAACTATGACCAACTCTGGGCTACCTGGGATGAGGTGAGGGAATGGGCAGTAGAATAGAGACAATTACCCAGGTGGATAGGGTTGCTTTGAAAGAAACAAGGCTCTCTGGTTAATTAAGGGATACATTAGGTCACGGTGCCCTTACAGGAAGGATGCCAGATCAGTACTCTTCCCTCACTAGCTCCCAGTCTGTTTCTGATTCCCTGCCTCGGGCCACTGCTCAAATTAAACTGGAAATAAGAGTGCAGGAGAGCCCCTTGCGGAATCTGTGTGGGTCAGTCTTCCAGGCAGAGGGCAGAACGGAGAAAGGCAGCGAATGGATCGGGAAGGGCAGTGAAACAAGCAATCCAATGCACAAATCATGTAGTGGAGCTCAGTGTTTGTCAATATTTGCATTTCCACACCTCCCATTAGGCAAAATTTATTTTCTTTATAATGGAGCACAAACTACTCCCATGACCTCATTGCCTTTCAGCCTGACAGTCTCTGCCTGGTTGTTCATGTAACCAAATGCAGATTGGTTGTGGTTCCACATTTGTATCCTGGGTATTTCTCACCTTGTGTTTTTGCTCAGACTTTCCTTTCAAAGGAAATGTTCTTTCTCCCTTCAACTCCTCCCAAGAAATAGCTCAGCTTTATCTCGAGTAAAATCTCTTTCCTTACCTTTTACTAGCATTCTCTCTTGGCTGCTTATTCCTCATCAGCACTGTACGAGTTTCTCCCTCATTGTTTTAAGGTATTGTTTCATTAATTTCATTGTTCCATTTTATGAATTTACATGTTTGCTTCCCCAACCAGACTCTGAGTTCTTTGAATAAAGAAACAATATCTTTACTTGTTTACATTCACAGGGCTAAATCCATTGCTTATTTATTGAAAGAAAAAAATGAATTAGCAATCTCTCTCTCTCTCTCTCTCTCTCTCTCTCTCTCTCTTTCTCTCTCTCTTCCTTTCTATGCTTGCACTAATAGGCAAAAGAATCACTTTCAGATTTCCAGCAAATTGTGTGCATCTAAGTACCTCTCAGTGGGGCCACAGCCAGCATTAATATTGAAGTGGTAAGTAATGGCCAATTTTGTTTCCTCTGTAATGGAAATTGATGAAAGGAGGCTTCACTGCAGATAATTAGATTGATTTTAGTTTTACCACTTTTATATCCAGACAGCTCTTGACAGTGATTTTTGTAGTTACAGAAAGACAAGCTGATACCAAAAGCCATTTTGAAAAAACTTTTTCTCTCTTCAATCTAGACTCAGTGTGAACAAAATGACGTTCTTCAGCGTCCTTCTGTCCTCATTTACTGAAATGCTTCCTGAAGAGTGTGTGTGTGTGTGTGTGTGTGTGTGTGTGTGTTTAAACTAACATCAGTGTAGATGAAACATGGCAGACTGAGGCCATAAGGGCACACAAAAATCACTGTGCTAAATTTTTTTCATTTAATGTCAACAAGGTATATACTTGGGCTATAATGATGTTCCAACTAACATAAAGCAAAATTCTAGTTTGCGGTTTGCATTCCAGAAATTTTCACTAATGTTACCTCTGTAGGATTATAGGTGGATAGTAAAAGGGAGGCACTTTTTCACAAATTCTATTCTTTGCTAGAAGGGATTTTCTTTCTCAGCATGTTTTCATTTCTTCTGCCTGCTTTGTTTTCTTCTATTGCCTTATTCCTTAAGGAACAGGTGGCCCACAACGTATCTTATAGACACTGTTAATTTGGAGCAGATAATTGCACATATCACAAAAAGGTTTCAGGATATAAAGGGATATTTGCAAGCCATTTGTGATATTTAAAATGGATAAAGCCTCCCATTTATTGTGATGCTCTTTCAATCAAATAAAATGCCCAGGAAATAAATGCTGCCATCAACACCATAATCAATTACTTTTTTTTATGATTATAGTGTTCTGGGTGCTATTAAAATTTTAGTTAGGAACAGAAAACTCTTATTCACCTGTCTTTCCCCTTTACTATGGTTTAAAGCAATAAAAATATGGTTTATGAAGGATCTATCTCTCATTTATATTGGGCAACAAAACAAATAGGGGAATGAAAACAGGAAGCTCACTTAAAAATAATAAAATTACTTCTGTGAACATAAATGAGAATAAGAAATCATAATGTAAGACATTGAAATATCCTTGAAGTTAGAATTTGTATTCTCCACTGTTCCTGGCATTGTGCTTTGCATATTGTTAGTACTTAGCACAATTGTTCTGAATAGAACTAAATTTCCAAGCGTATATTTCTGAGTTTTGAAACTGTTCATGAGAAAGTCTTAGGAAGGAGAAGTTTGATATTGAGGAAGAAGTATGAAAGTGAATATTGACTTGTGTGCAAACTGATTTTGTATATCATGTGACACCTCATTGTGGCTAATTCTATGGGGATTTCAGTGAACCCAATAAAATGATTTTCTCCAAACAAGGAACTCATATTTTACACTTTATCAAAGATCTTATAATTTGAGTGGTTTTCCAGCAAACGAGATTGGATATTTTATAGTGTTTACCTTACAGAAGTTCATTCAGGTATTATTTTATAATTAACAAAGAGTGAAAATGAGTAATCCAAAACTTTGAAATAACAAGAGCTTTTAAGGAAATAAACAATAATTTTTGGTAGTAAAGACACTTGAGTTAAAAAAATACAATTGGTTTCCACTAAGATTATGCTTCTCACTACATATGTGACCTTGGGACTGTAATTTGGCCTTCTAATCCTTGATTTTATCACCTGATCCCTAACAAATGTTTTCTGTTGTTAGTGTTGCTTTTTGAGACAAGCTCTCGGTCTATAGTTCAGGCTGGCTTTGAACTTGTGGAGATCCTCCTGCCTCAGCCTCCATGTGCTTATATTACAAGCATATGCCATCATGCCTAACCTTAATAAATTTTTATAGAAATCAAATGAGATCTTGCTTATAAAATTCTTTTCGTGATTTTGTTAGTAAATACTTTCTAATGCTTAGCTACTTCTATTATTATTAAATGATAGAAAGGTAACTTTTAAAAAGGCAATAATTTAGGTGTATTAATGTAAGTTTTCATTTAACAGAAAGTGAAAATGTAACCTAAGAAAAAGACATGTAAACAACATGTCTAAAAAGAAATTTTTCAACATAGATGACAAAAAGTAGAAAGAGCCACGGGCCATTCACTCCCACTTCCCTCCCTCCTCTCTCTCTCCCTCTCTCCCTCGCTCTCCCTCTCTCAGATCCTCAGTGTCCAAGCAGTCACTTATTTCAGCAGGCCTATCCTGAGTCTCAACTTGGTTTAAGTCCTTTACATATTTCCCTGGATCGCAGATATTTTGCGATTCAAGTTATCTACCAAATAATTAATTAGATGAAAGATCATTACAAATGTAAACAAAATTACCTCCCCCATTACTAATAAGGTTACTATTGAAAATGTAGCTTATATTTGCTAGTAAGTGAACTTTCGGGTTTGAGCGATAAATTGGGACAATCTGTACAATTCCCAGCAGTGTCGGATACTTGAGCACAGACTTTTCTCAGTGAATGACAGAGGAAGTTAATAGGCGAGGAAGTAAGGAAGAATGAAGGGAGAGGAGATCACGCGTGCCCAATATTCTTACAGATTCTTCTAGTAAAGCCTCTTTTCAGGAAATTCACTCCATAGCGGAAAAAAAATTGAATGACATGACAGAAAAATCTTGTTTACATGCATGAAAAGTCCGGGTTAATCTCTAAGTAAATATTAGGAAAAATAAGTAAATGCTGCTCATATTATTAGAGTTCTCCAGGGAAAGAGAACCAATAGACAGTATGGGATGGAAGAAAGGGGAAGGACAAGGAAGGGAAAGGAAGAAAAGGGAAGGGAATTTTATTTAAAAGAATTGGCTCACATTTTTATGGAGCCTGTCAAGTCCCAGGGTCACTGCTAAGCTAAATGGCCAAGAAACACTGATGTTGCTGCTTTAGCTATATTCCAAACCCAAGGGCCTGAAGACCGGGATTGTTCATGATAAGTTCCAGTCCAAAAGCCAAAGATGAAACCCAGAAAATCTGATGTTAAAGTTCTTGTCCAAATGTAGGAGCAAAGCCGATGTTTTAGTCTGAAACCCATCAGGTGGAGGAAATTATCTCTTACTAGGAGGAAGATCAACCTTTTTCTTCTATTCAGTTCTTCAACTGATGGGATGAAATCCACCCACCTTAAGGACAGGAGAATGCCTTTTTTTCATCTACCAATTTATTTTTCTTGTTTTGGTACCGGGGTTCAAACTCAGGACCTTGTGCTTGCTAGGCAGTTGGCAGGACCACTGAGCTAAACCCCCCACCCCTTCATCTACCAATTTAAATGTGAGTCTCATCCCAAAACTCCCCTGTGAAAAACAGGTGGGTGAATGTTTGACCAAATACCTCAGCACCACGTGGCCCAGTCAATTTGACACATAAAATTTACCATCACGTAATCCTCACTCCATATAAATAACCTTTATAGCACCACGTGGCCCAGTCAATTTGACACATAAAATTTACCATCACGTAATCCTCACTCCATATAATAATAACCTTTATATTGTATTCTAATCGTTTAATAGATTACCTACTAATATATAAGCTTGTTAAAGAAGACATTAATTTGATTGATTGATTCAAATCAACAATGTTAAGCACAGTTAATGACTTATGTTAAATGCTCACTAGATACTGACAAATGATCAAACAGGTGAACAAACAAATGTACAGTTCAGGTTTCTTGCCTGTTATAACCCTACTGTGGCATTGTATACATTAGACTGTTATGAGCCACTCCATTAAATCTTCAAGTAATATTGCACATATACTTGTACAAGGAACTATTGTAAGTTTTTAAATGTGAAAATATAGATATATTTTTGTTTAGCTCTGACAACAGTCATAGTGGTAGGCATTGACATAGTCACTATTTTACAGAATTGAGAACTGAAGCATACATTTATTTTCAGCAGTCAAATGCTAGTAATTATAGAGCTAATGAGTTTGACTTAACACTCATCATAAATTGGGTCACCGTACAAGTGGGCTATCTGCTTACCTAGACCATAATTACAAATGGATATACTTGTGTGACTCACTGGAAATATATACCTGAAATTCACCATTGTTAAGTTGTTAACTTATTGTCAAGTTGTTAAGGCCAAATTATCAGGCCAACAAAACTGTAGAGAGATTGATGATGATCACAGTTTAGACAATGCAGAGAAAAATACTATGTGTTTTGTCATCAAGAACTAAGATCTGAGATTACACTATAGCAGACATGGTATACTTAGTTAAAATCCTTGACAAAAGTCCCCTAGAAGATTAGATTTCAGTTGTTTCTTAAAATATTAGTAGAATTAGATGTGTTAAATGGAAGATAAGAATTCCAAAATGGCTGAAAAATATAAAAAATATCAAAGAAGAAGGAATGAAGTAAGGCATGTGAAGAGAGTAGTGCAAGATAAATCCTTCCTCATAAACAAATTACCCATAGTTAACGAGATTATGCCCACTGCTTTCATAGCTTCTGGGATTGATTGTGGAACTGGGGACTGAACCCATGGCCTTCATAATGAGCTACATCCACAGGCCTTTTCATTTTGGGAAAGGGGGTCCCAAAACTGCTAAGTTGTCTGGGCTGGGCTTGCACTTGTGACCACGTCGCTTTTACTTAGCAAAAAATTGGGATTACAGGTGTGCATCACCATGCCAGGCTAGTTTATGGCATTTATCATATTTATATGTGATCATCTTCCCACATCACCTTTGGGAAGACACTCATTGACATACTAACTTATATTACTTAGAAATATAAAGTACTCTGTACACTGACATTACTGAAACGTATGCTTTATTAGCATAGAAGTATGAAATGTAAAGGGAGCACACACGGGTATGGAAAGGAATCGTAAATAGGAATTCTGACCTGGACGCTCACTGTGCAACCGTGATCAAGCAGGTTAACCTGTCTAAACTTCAGTTCACTCATCTGTTACATGAGCGCATGTTCTAAGATACACATAAATGCTTATAAGTATAAAATTATACACTGAATTTGAATG